CCATGTATAAAACACCGTTTTTAATACTATCCTTCCCACATGATTTGTATTTGTACCTTAAACTCCTTTTCCACCAGATCAACCTTTTCCAGTAGAGTTTTGATGGTCTCCAGCTCTATCTTGTAGCCATCTTCTCTGTTTTCCCTTCCTTTGTAACCCTGATGGTTACAAGATAGAGTTGGGGACTATCAAAACTCTACTGGAAAAGGTTGGTGTGGTACATTAGGAGTTTAAGGTAAGAGCCGTGGTGGTGCAGAGTTTAAGGTAAGAGCCGTGGTGGTGCAGTATTGCGGGCTAATTCTGCCGACTGTCAGGAGTTCGATCCTTACTGGCTCAGGGTTGACTCAGTCTTCCATCCTTCCGAGGTCGGTAAAATGAGGACTCAGATTGTTGGGGGCAATATGCTGACTCTGTAAACCATTTAGAGAGGGCTGTAAAGCACTGTGAAGCATTATACAAGTCTACGTGCTATTGGTATTGCTATTTTTTACTGAGATCCCAGGGTTCCCCATTCTGGGTACTGTCCAGACGTGTGACCCAAAAATTTCCAATCAGCATTGTCCCTTTATTAGAGTTTAAATCTCCTCATTTCAAGGACATGCAAGTTGGAAGGGATTATTTAGTTTTAGAGCATTTTCATCCCCTCCATGCTACTATCACTAGGTGAGTGGACAATATTATAACCTATTTGAACATGACCAGTTTGATTTACAAGCCATTCCCAACCCACTGTAATCCTAGCCTTGCTTTTCTCTGCTTTATCTTGACCAAATAAATGAAGATTGCAATGGCTTTCAGGTGCAATCTATCACTGTTGAACCACTGTGAACTGAGAGCTGGTATGCAAGACCCATATATCTGTAATGAACCAGAAGAGAAACACACTAGAATGCATGTCTCAATCAAGGGGACACATGGTAAAAGGGGAGAAAAGATAGTTATTTGAGGTTGCAGAACAGCTACAAGATTGTAGGTGAACTTGTTTGTTCACTTTGCTGCTTGCAATGAGTCAATCCTGGACTGCAGTCAGGATCCTGCAACTATCAGGGGGTGTCTAGTAGCTAGTGCGGGGGGGGAAATCCCAGCATGACAGGACTCACTGCAAGCATGCTCTTCATTACAGGAATCACTTTCCTACCTGTAAAAACATTGATAGGTGTAATAAGCAAGGGTGAAGGGCGAGATGATCACCTTACTGGCCATGGAGCTCAGCTGTTTGCAGAATCTTTCTACATCTTGACTGATTCTCTGGTCTCTAAACAATTGTGCAATACAGAGAGATATTAGCTTGATATGTACCACCGTGATAAGAACAGCAAAGGAGAAAAGTTAATGTCTTATGAACAAAAAGGTTCATTCACTATTCCAGGTGCTTTAAATATTTGCACCAGGCAAACCAGTACAGGTAGTCCTTGATTTACAACCATTTGATTAGTGACCATTACAATGGCACTGATAAAAGTGACTTAAGATCAGTTTTCACAGATATGACTATTGCAGCATCCCATGGTTAGATGATCAAAATTCAGGCACTTGGCAACAGGCATGTATTTATGACAATTGCAGTGTCCACGTGTGATCACCATTTGTAACCTTCACAGCTGGCTTCTGACAAGTACAGTCAATGGGGGAAGCCAGATTCTCTTAACGCCCTCATAATTTACTTAACACTGCAGTGATTCGCTTAATGAAAAAAGGGTCAAAAAATGGGGCAAAATTCACTTAACAATTATCTAGCAATGGAAATTTTGGGCTCAGTTGTGGTCATAAGTTGAGGACAATCTTATTGAGTAAGAACATGCTTGTGTCTGTTAAAAGCTGGAATGACATCTACTGCCCCATCATAGATGTTTGTGTGGTTTGTTCTGTAAGAATTCAACTTCGTGGAAATTTGAAGCTTTTGGAAGCCCTTAAGAGGGGAGGAGGGATTTTCCCCCGCTCCTGGAGAAGCGGCGAAAAGAAAGTTTTGGGCTCAATCAGTTTGCCTATATAGCAGAAACATCACGCTGGTTGGATTCAAGGAGAAAAGAAATCTCTTCTTTCCATCTTGTTCCAAAGAAGGAAAGTTTGACTTTGAAAGGCGAA